CAAACTGGCAGTGTTCGAGTTGGAACAAAGTATTGGCCGAGAAGTCAACAAGGTGGATTGTTTAGAAAAAGAAATGCCTACAAAGGAACTAGACGACGAAGTGATAAGGATCGCCAAGCCTGGATACGTTCAAGCACAAGACCCCCTGATTAAAGTGAATATTGACAATGAAGGAGAAGATCGCCCAACGTTCATCAGTCAAATGCTCGATCAAGAGGTTAGTAATAAATTAATCACTTTATTAAAGGAGTACAAAGATTGTTTTGCTTGGGAATATGAACATATGCCTGGTTTAGATAGAGATTTGGTGGAACATAGATTACCAACCAAGCCTAATTTTAAACCTCATAGGCAACCTCCCAGACGTTTTGCTCCTAATGTACTCCCTGAAATTAAGAAAGAGATAGAGCGATTATTAAAAGCATGCTTCATTAGAACGTTTTGCTCCTAATGTACTCCCTGAAATTAAGAAAGAGATAGAGCGATTATTAAAAGCATGCTTCATTAGAACAGCCAGGTATGTCGAATGGTTATCCAATATCGTGCCAGTACTAAAAAAGAATGGTAAACTAAGGGTGTGCATAGACTTTAGGAATCTAAANAACTAAGGGTGTGCATAGACTTTAGGAATCTAAACATAGCCACACCTAAAGATGAATATCCAATGCACACGGTGGATTCTTTAGTAGACTCGATTGTCGGATATGTAATGTATTCCTTCAAGGATGGATATTCAGGATACAATCAAATTTTAATAGCCGAGGAAGATATACACAAAACTGCCTTTAGATGCCCTGGGTCTCTAGGATGTTTTGAATGGGTAGTTATGCCTTTCGGCCTAAGAAATGCAGGAGCAACTTATTAAAGGGCAATGAATTTGATTTTTCATGATATGATAGGCAAATTTGTTGAAGTGTATTTAGATGATATAGTGGTCAAATTCCTTAAAGAAGAGGACCATTTTGAACAATTAAGATGTTCATTTGAGCGAATGAAGCAATATAAACTAAAGTTGAATCCCTTGAAATGTGCATTTGGTGTTAATGTAGGGAATTTTCTTGATTTTTTAGTACACAAAAGGGGGATTGAACTTGATAAAAATAAAG